ATTCAGTGCTCACTCACAATCTATACACTTCTTTCAGGAACCTCTGGATTTCCCACAGTATTTATGAAGTATACTTTGCATATATGTTTTTAAAACTCAACTTGGCAGGGTTGTCAGGGCTCATGCTAGTCCTCTCAGCTCAAATATGCTGATAAAATACACACAGAAGAATCCTGAGCTTTTCTGGAAAAGCTTCCTGGTCACAGGAATAGCCATAACTGGCACCCTCCCTTTCCCTTGTAAATGGGTGGCAGATGTTAGGTGTGGAGCTGTACATCTTCATGGAGAAGGCAAGAGAACTGCAGGTCCTGGTCCTGGTAGCACAGCTGTAGAGATAACAGGGGTGACTATTTATCAATAGATTTCTTGCTATGTGAGAAAAGGAATCCCTGATTTTTCCAACTCTTGTTAACTCTCGTGAGTGAGATTTTCTCTTATTTCTTTTTTTATTTTCTTTTTAAAAATTTTTATTTATTTTTTAATGTGTTTTCATGTATTGCCTGCATGTAAGTAAGTGCACCTGTGTGGTGCAATGCCCTCGGAGGACAGAAGAGTTGTCAGATCCCTTGGAACTGGAGTTACAGACAGTTGTTAGCTGCCATGTGGGTGCTGGGATTTGAACCCGGGTCTTCTGCAAGAACAGCCAGTGTCCTTAACCACTGAGCCATCTTTCCAGCCCTGGTCTTCTGTTATTTCAACCATAATATTTCCCCCATTGAATTAGAGGCTCATCTGGATGGTTTGGCGGATGGACAAAGTGGGACTAGAGTGGGCAGTAAGTGCAGATGTGGACAGACATGGAGACACTGCTAGGGAGGATTCTAGCAAAGAACAAGCATAGCATGGAAGTTCCAGGTGAATTAGTAGGTAGGGTGCACCTGCCTCTCTGCAGAACTATGCTGTTATGTGACCAGACTATCACCTTGCTGGCCTAGGATGTGGTACCAGGGTAAGAACAAAAGGAACTATGACTTCATAAGATTCTGACTTCTAGTTCTCTTGGAATTCTCCAGTACTTGGAGGAGGATTGGTACTGCACCTTTAACTCTGGATGGCTGGAAGAATGTAGGAGTTGAGGGTTCATTCACTAGTTGGTTCCTAGTTCAAGACCCAACATCTGATAATGCTCATAAACTGCTCAGGAATTTCCCACTGCATTACAATCTTTCTTTCTGTTTTTCTCCCCTCCCCTCTTCTGTCCTCTCCTTTCTTCCTCTTTTCTTTTTTCCTTCCTTCCCTCCCTGTCCCTCCCTTCCTTCCCTCTCTCCTTTCCTCTCCTCTGTCTCTGTCTTTCTCCTTCCTTTTATTTGTGGTGCGTGTGTGTGTGTGTGTGTGTGTGTGTGTGTGTGTGTGGTGTGTGTGGTGCCTGTGTGTGTGGTGTGTGTGTGTGGTGCATGTATGTGTGGTGCATGTGTGGTGTGTGTGTGGGAACCCTAAAGGCACTAAACAGCCAAAGCAATCAGTAAACAAAACAAACCTGGAGACTTCACGGTCTTTTCCTTCAGAACAGCTGTATCGGCCTGAACACAGACAGATGTGCAGAGTAGTGGAATTAATAGAGAGCCCAGAAATGAACCTGCAGCTTTACAGCCCGATGATTTTTGACATTTAATAACGTTTCCCCCGTTTTTCTTCCTTTTATTTGTGGTGCGTGTGTGTGTGTGTGTGTGTGTGTGTGTGTGGTGTGTGTGTGGTGCCTGTGTGTGTGGTGTGTGTGTGTGGTGCGTGTGTGTGGTGCGTGTGTGTGTGGTGCGTGTGTGTGGTGCGTGTGTGTGGTGCGTGTATGTGTGGTGCGTGTGTGTGTGGTGTGTGTGTGTGTGTGTGTGTGTGTGTGTGTGTGAGACAGAGGTTGACATTGGGTGTCATCCTCAACCACTCTACCTTATTTTCTGAGACAGGATTTCTTACTGGACCTGCAGCTCACCAATTTGGCTAGAGCAGTCCCAGGGATCCTCATATCTCTGTCTCTGTAGGACTGGGATTATAGATGTGCACTGCAGTCGTTTTGTTCCATGGATGCTGGGAATACAAATTCTCAGGCATGAGCAGCAAGTGCTTTACTGACTGAGCCATCCCCAAAGCCCTCCAGTTCTTTCAGTTCCCCTCTTCCCTCCCTCCTCTCTATCATCTTCTCCCCACCCCCCACTTCAATCTTGCTGTGTTGTTAGGGCAGGTCTCAAACTCCAGAGTTCAAGCAATCCTCTTGCATGTGCTAGCACTACAGGTGTGTGCCACTCCTCCTCCCCCTCCGCCTCCGCCTCCGCCTACCCCTCCCCCTCCTCCTCCTTCTTTGGTCTTTTTCAAACAGGGTCTTCCTGGAGCCTCAGCTAGCCTGGAACTCACTATGTAGACCAAGCTGGTCTCAATCTTGCAAAAATCTGCCCGCCTCTGCGTCCAGAGTGCTGGGATTAAAGGCGTGCACCACCATGCCCGGTTGCCTTAATCCTCTGCATTTCCTTTTTCTCTTTCTTTTGAAGTCAGAGTCTTACTATGTAGCCCAAGCTGGCCTCAAACTGGCAATTCTCCAGCCTTGCCTCCTGAGTGCTGGGACACTGGGTGTGTGACACTGGATACCTCCTCTTTCTGAGGAGAAACCCAACTATCTTTCCATATTCACATTTTATGTATTTATTTAATCCTCTAATATACATAAAGCAGTTCTAGAATTGTTAACAGCATAGGAAAAAAAAGGAAATCTTTAGGATCTAGGATTTTTTTTTTTTGGTCTTTTTGAGACAGGGTCTCCCTGTAGCCCCAGCTGTCCTGGAGCTCACTATGTAGACCAGGCTGGCCTCGAACTCACAAAGATCGGCCGGCCTCTGCCTCCCAAGTGCTGGGACTAAAGGCGTGTGCCACCATGCCCAGCTAGGAGCTATGACTTTTTTTTTAAACAACTCTATGTTCTTTGCTCTTTACCTTAGACAGGCAATAGTAAAGTACTGCTTACCAAAGTTACTTAGAGCAGTTCTTTGCTTCCTTAGGTCTTTCACTATGGACATGTTATTCTGAGCTATTCATTACTTTTGTATTGTATTTTGACTTTTGCTTGCCTCTTAGTTTTATTTGTTTTTTGAGTGTGGAGAATTCATAATTCTAAAAATCAAAACAAAATGCAAAGATGTATTTGGGGAGTGCTTCCCTCCCCATGTTTTCCATTCCCTTCATATCTGTCTTATTCATCCTCTGTAGATGACCAGTCAACTGCTGAGTTTTGTATTGAATTTCTCATGTTTTTCTTTTGGCACAACTGGGAAGGTTTGGGTTGATGATAATGCTGCAGCAAATGTCCTTGTGTAATGTAGTTTTATATTGTTGGGTTATGTCTCCAGGGTAAATTCTGGAAGGATTACTCCATCAAAAAATGTGTATATCCAACGATCAGTTGAACAGAATAGAGGATCCAGATAGGAAACCAACCAGCCATAGCCACCTGATCTTCGGCAAAGATGCCCAAAGGTGGCCATTTCAACAAATGGTGCTGGTAAAACTGGATATCCACATGTAGAAGAATGAAACTATATCTCTTATCTCTCACCTCCCGACACAAAAATCAACTCCAAATGCACGAAAGACCTTAGTGTGAGATGGAAACACTGTACTTGTTAGAGGAAAAGGCAGAGAAAACATTTTGAGATATAGGCATCAGTCTTCATCCCAGTAATTTGAGATGCCAACTTATTATACACTAATTTTTTATGCTATAAAATTGGAGTTTATTAGAAAAAGGACAGGAGTACACACCTGTGGTGATTTGGATGAAAATGTCCCCCATAGGCTCCAAATGTTTGGACATTTTGTCCCCAGATGATGGTGCTGTTTTGGGAAGTTTTAGAAGATGTGGCTATCCTGGAGGAAGCATGTCCTGGGAGTGGGCTTAGCCAGTTCTTAAGACTTGCCAGATCTCTGGTCAGTCTCTTGCTTCCTGTGCCTGCGTGATGATGTAAGAGCTTTGCTTCTGCTGTTCCTGGTCCAGCCACCTCCAGCCACCATGCCTCCCTGCCATGATGGACTGTAATTCCCCTGGAACTGTAAGCTCAAACAAACTCTTCTTTCTATAAGTTGCTCGGGTCAATGTTTCTATCACAGCAACAGAAAAGGGACTAATACAACACCCAGGGTATGTGTGAGAGTAGAGCATCTTTGTGCTCCTATAATTTCTATAAGCACTCGAATCTCATCCATGACTTTCTGATCTAAGAGCTGGTAAATTTGCATGGGGATCAAGTACCCTCCCACCGAGCTACAGTCCCACTGCCAAATTTGTTTTTATTTATCATTTTTATTTTGTGTGTATGTGTGCCTGTATGTATGTAAGTGCATCTGTGTTGTGCAACACCCACAGAGGTCAGAAGCAGGTGTCGGATTCCCCTGGGACTAGAGTTATGGATGGCTATTAGCCACCATGTGGGTGCTGGGAATCGAACTCAGGTCCTCTGCAAGAGTAGCCAGTGCTCTTAACCACTGAGACATCTCTCCCACTCTAGAAAACTTTTTTAAAAAAATTGCCTAAATTTAGTAAATATTTCAGATTGTAAATCATATAAGTCCCTGCTGTTAAAGGACAAATGCTGCTATAGACGGTTAAACAGATGAATGTTCCAATACACTTTATTGACAAAAACAGTTTGTGGCCATAGCTTGCTAATTCTGCTCTGGTTTATCCCATGTCTTCTTTTGTACCAGTAACTAGTTGTTTTCATTATAGAGGCTTTTTGGTGTGCTTTAATGTCCAGTGGGCTAACTTTTCTCCTTGTAATCTATAATCTTATATTCTGCTTTTTTTTTTTTTTAAAATCTTTTTGAGACAGGGTCTCCTGTAGCCTCAGCTGGCCTGGAACTCACTATGTAGATCAGGCTGACCTTGAATTCACGGAGATCTTCCTGTCTCTGCCTGTCGAGTGTGGAATTAAAGGCATGCACCACCACACTTGGCCTATATTCTGGGAATTTTTTTTTTAAATCAGTAAGCAAAACAGACTAAAGCACACTAAGTGATCTAGGACCGTTCCTTGCGTGGTATGTCTCCCCAGTTATCGTCCACAGGACTCTGAGAAGTTGTAGGAATATGAGGTGTAGACTTGAAGCCCAGCTTCATCTCCAACATTGTGGAAAGGGACTGTATATCATGGGGCAGAGTCCTGTGCTCCCCTACGCCACTCGGACAGAGCCCAGGGAGAGTGACCTCCTGGGATATTCATGTTGGGATATTCTGGGAATTTAAAAAATATTTTTTTGGGGAGAAGGTGCATGCCGTCATAATGCATACGTGGAAGCCAGAGAACAACTTCGGAGTTGGTTTTCTCTTTCCACCACATGGGTTCCAGTGACCAGACTCAGGCCCGTGGGCTTACTGGCAAGTGCCCTTACCCACTGAGCTATCTCGCTGGTTCTATTCTGGGTTATTACAATCAGAGTTAGGAATAGTTTCATCAGGCAATATATTGGCTGTAGCAATATATTGTTTTTGGCCACTGATTTGTGATTCTGCACAGTGCACAGCCTATGATTATGGCTTATAAAAAACCCTATCAATAATTTCTTATGTAGCAGAACATTCTTCAGCTGCATAGTTTTAAACAGTAGAAAATATCCCAGTCTATGACATTCAGACTATTGTCCTAGTAGAAATGATATAAGTCATTACCAGTAATCTTGTTACGAATATGGCACTGTTTGCTTGATCAGTTCTGCAGGTGCTTTGGATAGAGTTTATGAACAAGAATTCTGAAGTGAATACGAAGCTTATAAAGTCCTATCAGCTGCTGGGACCCAGAAAAACTGAACTGCAGTCAAGTGGTTATACTGTTCATGGGAGTTTCAACATCCTGATAGACAATTTTTACTTTATAAATGCAAAAACTGCCAAGTTTTTTGTTGTTATTCTTACTATTAAGCATGGTGGGGGATTAAGAAAACACAGTTTCTCTTCAGTTAACACCAGAATTGTTATTTATTAGAGAGGAAACTCTACTTGTTCAGGGAAAAGAGCTTGATCTGTATCAAAGTTAGGAGCTAATATAATAATGTCTAAACCGCTCTATTGTCTAAACC